TGGATRGATGTGAGGGAGTGCTTGATGGACAGGTGGTTTAAAATTCGTTCAGAAAAGGGTCCCACACAATTTCTTTGAGCTAATTTGTTTGGGTTTTCTACACACTCTTTTTACAGAATCACATAAATCCAGCCATGGATTTTACACAGACTCCTCCAGGGATGCTGGCATTGGACAACATGCTATACTTGGCTAAATTTCATCAGGACACCTATATCAGGGTATGTGAGGCTGCTGATTTTTACAGATGCCAGCACCTCAGCAGCTCTTCTTAGAGTGTGTGGCGTCCTGTTCTTGTAGATTGTTCTGGAGAACAGCAGTCGAGAAGATAAACACGAGTGTCCCTTCGGGCGCAGTGCCATTGAGCTCACCAGGATGCTKTGTGAGATCCTGCAAGTTGGGGAACTCCGTAAGTACCATTTATTACCCAACTTTACAGGTTGCTGGGCTGTAGCTTCTAGAAACCAATATTCACAAATATTTGTACCTTCATCTCACTTCTGCCCTGTAAGGACAGGGGGAGCTTGGAGTTGGCACTGTTGGAGTCCCAGTGATAACACCACTAGTGAAATAAAGTGAGAAATTTTGGTATGTGTTCTCTGGTTCTCCTGGAAAACYGATACAAGCAGAAAGCTTCAAGTTTTCAGATCTTCAGGAGGATGCTGTATAGTCTCAAAACCATCATGAACTTGGGAAAAGTTTTATTAGCTCTGACAGTCTCAAAACAGTGTTCTGAGAAAATTAACCACTGTAAGAAATTCCACCAGAGAAATGTGGGAAACACTGCAAGCATTTATTTTAGGGGACTAGAATAAAAAGGGCATGAGTCACAGAGGTTAGCATGGTGAAGTGTGGGATGACAAAGTATTGAACTGTCTTGATGTCTTGGTGTAAGTACTGTTGCACACGTCAGGTGTCTGTCACTGTAGTGGATTTTAGTTGCTGGTACCCTTTGTCCAGTGTGCTCACATGGTTGTGGTTTGTTTCTTTTTGAAGCCAATGAAGGCCGAAATGACTATCACCCCATGTTTTTTACCCATGACCGTGCATTTGAGGAGCTGTTTGCCATCTGTATCCAGCTGTTGAACAAGACCTGGAAAGAAATGAGGGCGACAGCAGAAGATTTTAATAAGGTCAGGGTGGAGAAGATATTTTTRTAAAATCTTTTGCTGATCAGCACATGTTCACTCAGCTTGTACACCTGGTTAAGGAATAGGGAGCAGAAGTTGTGACAGGGCATTGATATGGGCTGTAAGGTAGGATGGCTCAACTTTTATTTCGTATCACCTGAGGTCATTCTTGGTTCTTCTGGGTCTTTGAAGTCACATGCTGATACTCCTGGCCCCAGTTATCCCATGTCAGTTCTTTGCTCCCACTGAGCTGTGCCCTGATCTTCTGCTGCCATTAAGCAGAAAAAACGTGACTTGGTTCTTCTTCCTGCCCCACMTTTTTAGGTTATGCAGGTTGTGAGGGAACAGATCACACGGGCTCTCCCYTCTAAACCAAATTCCTTGGACCAGTTCAAGAGCAAATTGCGCAGCCTGAGCTATTCAGAGATTCTGCGGCTACGCCAGTCTGAGAGGATGAGCCAAGATGACTTCCAGTCTCCACCTATTRTGTACGTGCCTAACAAAAAGAGTTTCCTTCTATCCTTGCCGTTATCTCCATTTTCTGCTTACTCTTCCATATTCAATTGCCAGGGAGCTGAGAGAGAAAATCCAGCCTGAGATCTTGGAACTGATAAAGCAACAGCGCCTGAACAGGCTTTGTGAGGGAAGTAGCTTTAGGAAAATTGGAAATCGCAGAAGACAAGGTAAGGTGACAGCATCTGCTGCATTTTTTCATGTGAAGARCTGTAGCAAGTAAGATCTAATTAATTAATCTGTCAGCAGGCATGTTGCCCAAAAGAAAAGCTGGTTACCTGGGCTCTCCATATCAGCCAATAGTTTGGGATGCTGCAGATGTGTATTTCTAAGAATGCAGCTATCCCCTGCTGAATAAGAATCTGAGCTGAGGAGCTGGGCAAGCAGATGGATTGGGTAGAAAGGCTGTAGTGTAGTGGCTTTTGAGACCTTATGTGAATGATCTTGCTCAGCTCACTCCACTTGGTGTGTTCCAGAAAGATTCTGGTATTGTCGCCTGGCTCTGAATCACAAGGTGCTACACTATGGAGATCTGGAAGATAATGCCCAGGGCGAAGTGACCTTTGAATCTCTACAAGAAAAAAGTAAGTCCTCATTACAGGCTGTGCACCCTTCTGTGCTCTGCTGTCTAGATGCTGGGTATAATCCTAGACAAAAGATGAGAGAGCCATGGCTGAAGTTCTGACTGAGGGGATACCAACTTTTGGTCCTTGCCCAAATTCTTCAAGCCTTGGAATTGCTTGGTATTTCTTTAACAGCCAGCTTCAGGGATGTGTTGCTGGTAATGTGTTTTGGAAAATTTCACTAAGGAGCTAAAAAAATCAGTGTTCAGCTGCAAAGACAAAGTTCTGTCTTTTTGTGGTCGGGGTTGCTTGTTTGGGAGTTTTACTTTTTCACTGTTAGTTCCAGTTGCAGACATCAAAGCCATTGTCACAGGGAAGGATTGTCCACAYATGAAGGAGAAAAGTGCACTGAAACAGAACAAGGCAAGTGTCACTTTTTGCCTGTTATTAGTATCTAATGCTGTAGCATTTAAGACTGGGAAAGTGAGCAACAGGAGCGAATGATCTGCCCCTCTGCAGTGTGTTGTGTACAAACCCCATCTTTTCTCCAAGCCCTTCCCTAGTGTTCCTTTGTGACTGCAAGGAGCTGTGAGCATGGTGTGATTGTGCTATAGTCTCTTCAGAATCGCTCAGAATACCAATATGGGGAAGTGTACTGAGCCACAGCAAGGTAGCTCTCTCGGGCTGGCAGGCAGAAGTGCTGTAATGTTTTGTTTAGTTGGTGAGTGAAAGATTCTTTTCTATTCAGGAAGTGTTAGAATTGGCCTTCTCCATATTATACGATCCCGATGAGACCTTGAACTTCATTGCACCTAATAAATATGAGGTAAGAAACATAGTGGTTAAGCAGTAGAATGTATAGCAGTTAACTTCAGAGATTAAGAAGGATTGGTTGCTTCTCATTAAAGACTCAAGCAGTGTGTCTCTCACCAGGTTCATTCTTAGAATGTGTTGGTGAAGCTTAGTATGAACCATCTTTTTTTTCTCCTTATTTTTCTTCATTTAAAAAGAAAAATAAAATCCCACACTAATTTCCCCTAGTCTGGATTACTTTTTTCCCTCCTATGGATGCCTAGAATAGGTATACTTTTTTCTTTTGTTATGCCACAATAGAAACTCTTTGCCCTTTTCTAGAGCCATAGGCTCAAGCTTTTCTCTAGATATGTAACTTCCATTGAAAATCTCAGTGGATGCTTTTTGGGGTTGGGAGTGAGATTATTACCTACGTATCAACTCACTCCAGTCTTTCCTATCTTGAAGCTGTCTAATTGTTACGTGGATGGAAAGATTCAACAGGAGGTATCATTTATGCCCAGAGTCGTGAATTACCCTTTCTTTTCCACAGTACTGTATTTGGATTGATGGGCTTAATGCGCTCTTGGGGAAGGACATGTCCAGTGAGCTGACCAAGAGTGACCTGGACACGCTGCTGAGCATGGAAATGAAGCTGAGGCTCCTGGACTTGGAGAACATCCAGATCCCCGAAGCACCGCCGCCCATCCCCAAGGAGCCGAGCAGCTACGACTTCGTGTACCACTACGGCTGAGGCCCCGCGCTGCCGCCGGCGCTGCACCGAGCCCGCTCGGGCCGTGCGGCCGGGGCCGCCGCCTGCTGCCGTGCCGGGGGCCCCGGCGCCGTCCGCCTTTTGTATCGGTTCCAATAATAACCAGTAGCGCTCCTCGCCGCCGCCGCCTCCGCCTCTTTCCGCCCTGCGCGGAGCGTCACCGCTGCGCGCCCGCCCCGTTCAGGCACCGCCGCTCGTTCCCCCGCCCCGCCGGGAAACGTCACCGGCGGCCCCGTTCCCCCTCGGCCACGGCCCGCTCAGCATCGCGGCCCCCCCTCCCTGCCCTGCCGTGCCGTGCCGTGCCGTGCCGTGCCGTACTGCCGCGGCCCCTCTCCGCCATCCCCCGTGCCCCATCCCCGGTCCGTCCCGCTCCTCCCTCTCCCGGCGCGGTGCCGTGCATGGCGGCGGGGGCGGGCGGCGCGGCCCTGGGGCGGGCGGCGCTGGCGGCGCCGCTGGTGCTGCTCTACTACGGCTTCTCCATCGGCATCACCTTCTACAACAAGTGGCTCATGAAGGTGCGGGGTGGCGGGGCGGTGCGGGGCGGCGGCGGCGGCGGGAGGGCGGCGGCGGTGACAGCGGCTGTCGGTCCCGCAGAGCTTCCCGTTCCCGCTGCTGGTCACGCTGCTGCACCTGCTGCTCATCTTCGTTCTGGCGGCTCTCGCCCGTGCCCTGGCGCGCTGCCGCTCCGGGCGGCCGCGGGCAGCGCTGTCCTGGGCCGACTGCCTCCGCCGGGCAGCCCCCGCAGGTACGGCCGGGCACGGAGGGGACGGGGCCGGGGCGGCGGACAGGGAGCGGGCACGACAATGTGTGAAAGGCATGGAGCTCTTGGAGAGTGTCCACACAGGGGCSGTGAGGATGGTGATGGGACTGGAGGGGAGGTGTTACAAGGAGCGGCTGAGGTYGCTTGGTGTGTTCATTATGGAGAAGTGGAGGCTGAGGGGASACCTYATTGTGRTCTTCAGCATCCTCATGAGGGGAAGCAGAGGGGCAGGCACTGATATGTTYGCTCTTGTAACCAATGACAGGATCCAAGAAAACACATGAAGCTGGTTCAGAGGAGGTTTAGGCTGGATGTTAGGAAAAGGTTTTCACCCAGAGGGTGGTTGAGCAGTGGAACAGACTCCCCTGGGCAGTGGTCACAACACRAAGACTGAGTTCAAGAAGTATTTGGACAATGCTCTAAGGCACATGGTGGGATTGTTGGGGTGTCCTGAGCAGGGCCAGTTAGACTTAAACATCTGAGTAGGTCCCTTTTTATTCAGTATATTCTATGATTCTGTGAGGCTTCTTGAAGGTGTCCATGGCACTCTGACCACTTCCAGAGCCGATCCCCTGGGACAGGGTGAGCTGTGGAGTGCAGCCATCACTCTGACCCCTGTGTCTCCTTACCAGATGCAGAGCAGGTGTAGGTGCTGCTTAAAGCTTCAGTTTGAGACGTGCTGCCTTCATTACACATTTCAGAGATGTGTAAGAATAGGGAGAGGCCACACAGAATGTGACTTTGTGAAGGAGCTACTGGCACATGAGAACAATGAGAGTGTTCTACAGTCCCTTGATAAGTTGTCTCTGCAAGTAACATTTTCTCTTTAACACTGGTATCAAGCCATGCATTTATGTTAACTCAGCATCTTTCTCAGGTTGGAGCTTGGTAGAGAAATCATCATACATGGCACACAGAACTCTACCTGAGACCAAGGAGTGAAGCTCCTACTCGGAGCACAGAACTGTAACTACTTCTGCAGTTCTTTGGCTGTGTATTGTATTGGCTCCCACAGAGCAGCATCTGGTCTATGATCTCTGGCAAGGTTTGCAACATCTTACATAACACGCCCCATGGTTTCTTGAAAAATGCTTTCTGTACATCTGCAACAATTTTACCTTTCAGCATAGCCTGCCCTTGTTTCAGTAACACTGTTAATGTGRTAGGAAACTTAAATAGAAGGGAGAATAGACTAACGAAAGCTGCACCAKGGTTGAGGCTGTGTTGGGTAATTGTTGCTTGTTGCTGTGGCCCTCAGACTTACAAGTTATCATGCTCTGATACATTCAAGAAAGACTTCATGCAAATCTGAATTGCTTTCAGTCACAGGGAGGGCAAGAGTTATTTCTGGCTTTTTCGTAATGCATGTGAAGTGAGTGCAATGCTGAGCCTAACTTGAGTCACAGGGAATGGGACAGAAACATAAAGAGCTGAGAATATCTGAGTTACGTTGGTTCTGAAGAGTTAACCTGAGGAAAGCTGGGGTTTTTCCCCCGAGTCTGCTCTGCTCTCTATGTTCATAGCCATGTAGCAGGGTTTTGTGGTGGGTTTTTTTAATGTAGTGGAAGACAGTTAACTTCAGGACTTTTTCATTGATTCTTTAGCTCTCTCAACTTCTYTGGATATTGGGCTGAGTAACTGGAGCTTCCTGTACGTCACTGTCTCCCTGTGAGTACAAACACCATGTTCCCTGGGAGGCTTTGGTAGTGTTTGGAAAGTGCTTTGTCAGGATCTGTTTCTTAAGTAGGTTTTTGGTTGGTGGGGTCAGCATGCAGGGTGTGTGATAGTTTCTTCATAGCAATGTAGAAATGGGTGATCTGGTTCCTAATAGTACTTTGGTGGGAAGCACTACATTGAAGGAGTCTGACAGTGTATTTTGGTTCTTACAGCTACACGATGACCAAATCCTCTGCCATTCTCTTCATCCTGCTTTTTTCACTGCTCTTCAAGCTGGAGGAAATGGTAAGGGTCCCACACAATGCTTTACAGAGGGTAGTCAGACCTGGGGAAATAGGCACTGCATGTACAGGAAACATCTAACAGAGGAATGATGCAATTATGTGGGTGWCTCTGAAAGGAAGGAGGTGCCTGTCTCTGTTGCGTTTGCTCTCCTGCAGAGGGTGACATTGCTGCTGGTGGTTCTGCTCATCGCTGGGGGACTCTTCATGTTCACCTACAAGTCCACACAGTTCAATGCACAGGGGTTTGTGCTGGTGCTYTGTGCCTCTTTCCTGGGGGGCATTCGCTGGACTCTCACACAGATACTGATGCAGAAGGCTGAACTGGGTATGTAGGGTGTTAGGAGGGGCTGGTGGTKCTGGTAACAGGGAGGGAAATAAGGAGAGGTGATAGCCCTTGCTGCAGAAAYAAAWCATCTCAYGTAAGGGAAGGTGTTTGAAACCTTGGGTRTGGGATATCTGTTGATGGGTAATAAAGGTGGTTTGGTGTCTGCAGCAGCACAGGTGTGGGCATCAGAAATAAGGTGTGTGTCTRGGAATGGTGCTAATAAAGGCTCTAGGAGCTGTGTTATTCCCTGGCTTGTTGCTACCTGGTCTGTTATTGATTCTCCTCTTTCAGGGCTCCAGAATCCCATTGATATCATGTTTCACCTGCAGCCGCTCATGTTCCTGGGGCTCTTCCCACTCTTTGCKGTGTTTGAGGGTGCGTGAGTTAATTAGAGGAAGCAGGGAGAGCTTTATAGAGTGGTTGGGAGATTGCTTAGCAGTTTGTTGTTCRAGATAATTCATTTAGATAAGTGAACAGCTACAAACTCTGCAAAGTAGTTAGAGACCTAAATTTATCTTATGCTGGCAGGACATTAAAGAGTGCATAGAAGTAGTAGCCTGCCACACTTGTGCAAGTAAGGGCTGTGAAGAGCTGGCTCCACATCCTCCTGATACTGGAATGTGAGCAGCCCACCCCCATCARTCTTATTGAGAGGAATCCTGGGAGTGGAGAATGGTATTCTGCTACTCATTGTCTTGTTCCTAGGCCTGCCTTTGTCCATATCAGAGAAGCTCTTCCGTTTCCATGAAGCAGGAATGCTGTTCTCTCTGGTAGGGAAGCTGTTCTTGGGTGGAATTCTTGCCTTTGGTCTAGGCTTTTCTGAGTTCCTCTTGGTTTCCAGAACATCTAGCCTCACCCTTTCCGTTGCTGGCATTTTTAAGGTAAGGCATGGTTCCTGTGCTAATGCTAGAAGGCAAGTACTGAGTCATCCCCATTGAGCCTTATGTAGTGGGAGCTTCCTTAGATCCTTAGAAATCATTGCTTGTTGCTTTTGTTCTCCTTGCACAGGAGCTTGATGCTTTGCTTTGCAGTCTCTGCAGTGAAGTCTCTTGGTCCCTGACAGCAAAGGGCCAGAGAGGAGTGGCTGTTCTATTAAACAAACYATTAATGGTCAAAGTTTGTTGGAATGTGGGGTAGACAAAACCACATTGTCCTCATGAGCAGTGGATGGTGTGGAAGGGAGGAGGGGTAAGAAGGTCAAGCTCTTGCATCAGACCTGCATATGACCAAACYACTGGTTTGAGCTGTCTCTGTAACCCACTTTGGCACATCCTCTCCTCCTCTGAGGGGTTCAGCACACATACTTTTGAGCTGAACTGTGATATGTGAAGTCTCTCTGATCCAGAAGTTGCAAGATTCCTCTGTAACTGATCTATGCAGTCAGATGACTTAAAATCCCACATCSCGGTTTGACAGGTTGTTTGTTTCTAGAAACTGTTTTTAGAACTCTGTGCRCATGAAAGAATGTGCTGATAGAAATTTAGCAGGCTGACATCTTGATCTAGGCTTCAGCTGTAAAATGTCTCATGCATATCTCCTCAGGYCCTGCCCTGCCACTTGTCATGTTTTTTTGTTTCCCCAGGAAATCTGCATTTTATTCCTCGCCACACATTTACTGGGAGATCGCCTCAGTCTCTTGAACTGGCTGGGCTTTGCTGTCTGCCTGTCGGGAATCTCCCTTCACGTTGTTCTCAAAGCCATGAATTCCAAAGGTGATTGTTTTAAATCACTTTCTCTTTCTGTGTAGGCTTTCTCATCGCTTCACTAGGAGCTGTGTCTGATTGCAGCTCCTTGACAGCGCTAGGTTTGGTGGGAGCTCCAGCGAGTTTGTCACTAAATGGGCTGTCTGCACACAGGTGACAAAGCACTGGAGCCACACAAAGAGGCCAGCTCTGACCCTGACCTGGAGCTGCTGCTGCGCCACCCTGARCATGGTGAGGAAGAGGAAGAGGTTGTTGAAACCCCACAGCAGCACTGACTGAACATGAAGCACAAAGCCACCTGCTCTGTTCTTACCAAACCTGCCTGACAGCTATCCAGCAAGAAGGTCCAGAAGTCTCTGTGAGCACCCAAAGCAGAGCCAGGGCCTGGTGAGAGAATTCTCTCATTTTTGCTGTTTTGCTACAGCGTGGATCTGTAGATGCTGCACAAGAAACAGGCAATAGCCCTTTCACAAGAGCTTGGAAGACAAGCCCTGGTTCAGTGGATGTAGAATGGTGTGGTGAGACAGGGAAAGACKGTAAAAAGTCTGTTAGAGGATCCTGAAGGCTGAAGGATTCTGAGAGAGTAGACCATGAGCTGTAGGATGAACATGGACATGTCTGGACTACAAGCTGAGTGGTTAAAGGATGATTTTACAGCTGTTTAGATTTTGACTTCAGAGGAGAAGGTAGATACACCTTCCCTTTTTTTAACGTTTCTGCAAATTAGGAACTCCCATCCTGRTGGGAGCACATGACTGTATAAATCCCTAGAGCTGTCCCAGTGAGAAGGAYCCTTGGTGCCTGGTGACCTCCCTGTTCTATGTGCATAGTAAAGAGAGATTTAAATGTTGGTATTTGGACCAATTGAACATGATGAACATTTCAAGATGATGTTGGTTGGAGTGAGGACAGGGATGCGTGAGTACTTCTGGTGCTACAGACCAAGGAGGGAGAGAGCAGTCACAGGAGATGTAACTTGAGCAATAAGCTTATTGGAAAGTATGTGGGGTTTTGAGGGRGGGATTTTTTGTTTTTTAAATAAACTGTTTTTCTGATTTGCTTTTGTCTGTACATTATGTACCTATACTTTATCAAGCAGAGGTCATTTGTCTTCTCAACTCCTTTCCTTTTGGTGTCGCACTGACCTTGCTACKGCATGCCCATAAGGCCTGGCACACAGAAAACTTTCCCAGCTGTCACTGATCTCTAGAATTAGGGAGATTTTCCTGCAGCCTCTCATATTTATGCCAGCCAAGAGAACTTACTGACTGGTCTGCCTTTATGCATGGTATTCTAAGAAGACTTTTAGTATCATGGCTTTTTGTAAGAATCYTATCTCTTTCCCCCTTTTGGTTGGATCAGGTGGTCCTGCAGTCCAGGAAGGGRGAATAACAGGATTGAAGATGTGTCATTTTCATTGCTGTTAAGTCTCRAGTGGTGTTGGGCAGGTGGCTGGGTTTTTGCATGGCAGAATTTCCACATCTTTCMAAGTTTTGTTCAGTGTTAGCTTTTGTAGTTTTTGGAGTGGAAATAACTTGACAGAGTTTCCCAAAGGGATAAGASTACAATMTTTTTCCTGACAAGAGCTGGRTATTAAAGTGAACTTCTCAAATTCTGTTGGAGGGCCTGAAAAATTTTGACTAAAYGGTTCCTCTGTTGATCTTGCTTCAYAGTTTTCAGATATGAAGTCTTTCTTGATGACTTTAATCAAGAGCATGTCCTGTAAAAAACTGGTTCTGAAGAAAACTTTTGTTTTTAGTGATCATCTTTGATCACGTTATGGTAAGTGGCTCCAGAGCAGACAGCAGGTGGTGCAGCTTCCTCATGCAAAGCTACTGAACCAGCACGTCCACGCCAGGCTGGCAGACCGAGGGATTTTGTGTATCAAGTAGAATGCCTGGAGCTGAGAATGACTTGGTCTGTCCCTAGCTGGATTTTCCAATAGCTGGGACTTGTGATGCTTCCAGCAGGATTCACCCTCTTTACCCTGCCAATAGCTGTGAGCTCCAAGCCCCAACTACTCTGTACTCGACGTGGGGCAGTGCTGCTCTCTGCACATGATCTGTGTTCAACAGCATCACAGCTGCTCTTTCATTTCACTTCCCACTCTCCTACAACTGAACCTCAGGCATCTTTCTGCTGTGCAACTCCCAGACTGGGATTTCAGGTCCCTGTAAATCCAAGGAAAAGGCAACTTCATTCTCAKGTCAGAATTTGCACCAGATACGGTGCTTGAAGATGAAATCCGATTGTGCTTGTGACCTGTAGAGCCCTGTAGTCTGTTGCTGCCAGCTTTGTTTCCTTTTTAAGACAGGGGTGATGCCCTAGAACTCCAGCTCTGTCCTGGAGCTCTTGGAACATTGGCAGAMTTGTGGGCAAGCTTGGTAGGGGTGGGGTGGGGCTGTGCTGGTGCAGGGYAGTGCAGCAGAGTGTTAAAGAACAGCACAGCTCGTCTGGTGAACACTGTCCATCTTGCTTGAATGGGCACTGATATTTAATGAAAGGAGCCACCTTGCCCACTCTCTCATATAAGGAAAAAGTCCTACTGTGCATTGAAAATGCTGGAAATGGAAAAAGAGGCAAGGATGAAAGACTTGGAGGAGGAGACAGAAGTGCTGCAGCAATGGCACAAAATGTGAATGCACAATCTTGTAATGATAGCGTTCAAATATAGTGGCCATGAAAAAGTAAGGTGGGAATGTAGAGAGGAGGGAGGATGGAAGTTTGGACAGGATGGTAGCAGAAGCTGGGAGCAGCAGGAGATCCTGTTTGCCTCTGGAAATAGTGCTGGGTGTCTTTGCAGCTCCTTGGCCAGAGCTAGTCAAGGCCTCTTGGTGTTGCTCAAACTGTTGGAGGTCAATGCAGTGGGCTTGGGATTGAAAACCTTGGGTAAACCCAGCTGTGTGTGCAGGCAGGGGGCTGTGAATGCTGYCTTTAAGAGGTCACTTGGTGCCACAGTGTGCTCCCTGTGCCTGTCTGAGGAGTGGGGTGCAACTCACTGCTTGTGCAGGCTGTTTCCTGATGAGCCCTGAGCCAGGGGGCACTTCAGGGCACAGGGAAGTAGTTTTCAGCACAGACAAACATTGTGTGGCACAGTTTGTTTCTGCCCCCTTCCTCCAAGGAAGTGTTTGAAGGCTGAATGTCCTGGAAGGGCTCTGGAGCAGTGCAGTGTTGGGGACACGTGCTGCAGCAGCACAGGCAGATGAGCCCTTTTGCTGGGGAGGACACAGGGGTGTGTTTGTGCTGCCCAGGCTCCCCTGTCTGTGCCAGCCCCACACCGACACAGCCACCCAGGCAAGGSAGGGCTGCCATTGAATATTGATGGTGTTTGAAGTAATTAAGCAGCGGAAGCAAAGCTGAATGAGTCTCAGAGGTGCTGCACTCCTTCGCAAACTCTGTAAGACCAGGTGTTTACATGTGTGATGATTCTGCCTCCCTACCCATCCCCCTGGGAGACCTCTTTATTTGAAGAACAGATGCTTGGCTTCCTGCTAAAATTTCAATACCATAAACATCCTGAGGGCAAGGAGAAAGTGTCCCTGCAGACCCCTCTGCACTCCTCTGGTCCTTTGCCCAGCAAACAAGGTACGTTAACACCAGTGAGCTTACTGTGGGGAAACCAGCCTGTCTCCAAAACACAGCAAGGCAGAGCAGCAACACAGGGCCTGGTGCCAGCAGTAGGGCTGCCTCAAGATGTGCTTCGTTTTTCATTTCAGCTGAACATCTCTGTAGTATTCATTAYGTGGTTTGTGGTTGGTGCCTTGTGAGGTGGGGAAGGGGGAGCTCGGGGTGTAGATGGGAGGAATGCTGGTTACTGCCAGCCTGGGGTTTTAAAAGGCTCACATTCGTCTGCAGACTTTGCAGTGGCAAATAATTGCATCTGACTCGGATACCCCTGCTGTTGCACTGAGGCTCTCTTGGTTTTTTTTTCATTGTTGGGGTATGCAGATTTGATGTTCACAGCCTTGGATCTCTGCAGGATTTTTCTGGAAATYGCACTTGCCATTGTCCTCTCACCATTGCTGCGACAGCATGCCTGCATCAGCCCCCTTCCTCACTGCCACATCACCCCCAGGAAGGCAAAGAAGGGAGGAGGCTTTGAGCAAAGAGGAGGGGAAAAGGCAACTGGCCAAGAAAACTAGAGAAATGGCAGAAAAAAAAGAGTATGAATGGTTGGAGATYACAATCACAGGATSATTGAGGTTGGAAGGGACATTGGAGGTTATGTTGTTCAAGCCCCTGCTCAAGCAAGAACTGCTGCCCAGGAATATGTCCAGATGGCTTTGAGTATCTCCAAGGATGGAGACTCCACAACTTTTCTGTGCACCCTGTGCCTGTGCTAAGTCATCTTCAGGGGGAAAAWGTGTTYCCTRGTGTTCAGAGGGAACTCCTGTGTTTCACTTTGTGCCCATTGCATYTGTCKCTGGTCACCACTGAACAGAGCCTGGCWCCAACCTCTTTTCACCCTCCCATCAGGTATTTATTGGCATTGACCAGTTTCCCCYTGAGCCTTCTCTTCTCCAGGCTGAGCAGTCMCAGCTCTGTCAGCCTTTCCCCAGGCCCTTCATGATCTTCATGGCCCTTTGCTGGACTCCARTGTGTCCATGTAGTGATGAGACCAGTTCTGGGCACAGCACTCCAGTGCTGGGTCAAGGCAGATGTCACCTCCCTGGGGCTGCTGGTGATTCTTTACCTAAGGTACCCCAGATATCATTCCCTTCTTTGCAGCAAGAGCACATTGTTCACCCAGGTGAAGATGCAGGTATGCAGTTAGAGGGCAAGAACCTGCCCAGTTTAACACACTGCAGGAGGTTTGCTGGGGCAGAGAGCTGTCCTACAATACCTACTCTGGCAGAAGTAGCCCTTCCATCTCATTTTGTGCTCTCCAGCCTTGCAGAGCTGGGTAATTGCTGTATCTATCAGTGCTCCTTGCATTAACAGGGAGTAATTGGCACCTGTATTAAAGAGCCTGGTTTCAATTACTGCTGAATGCAGCTCAAACTCCAGAGCTGGGAGATTACATGGGGGTGGAGCTGTAGTGCTCACGTTTACTCTCTGTCTTTCCACCAGGTGCTCCTCTTTCCCCAGGGATAAAGCTTTTTTTCCATTTCTTGCTTGTGCCTTGAATCTGCAAAGCTGCCAGCAAGGGCTGCCTGGAAGGTGTGAGGTTGTGCCTCTCAGGAGCACAGAGCAGGCATGGCTGGCACTGTGCTCAACWCTGTTCTTCCTCATGTGGATGTTTCTTACAGAAACCTCTGCTGTGAATCCTGTGCTGAATGGTGGGGTAGCAAAGTGTGGGAGMAAATAAATGAGTCTTTCTGGATGATGGCATTGCCCCAGCCCCATGCAGCAGCAATCCTGGGGGCTTTCCCATTCCCTGCCCTCAGCTACACATCTCTCTTTGGTTTCCACTGCATCAGCACTCCCCTGTTTGCTGGGCCCTGCCCCCTCCTGCTGCCATTCATCATTTCTGATCCAATAAATTACAGTGCCRTAAAAATGCACAGGGAATTGTTTTCTGTGTTATAGAGCCATGAGCCCTTAAATTTCCATTTGTTTAGTGGGTGATGAATGGACAGTTGTGGTTGGTGCTGGAGCCATGTGGAGTGGTGGGAGAGCTCTGACTACAGTCAGTGCTCCCTCCTGCAAGCTCAGCACCATGAGCCTCATCAGCTTGTGAGGCAACGCCTGTCTGGGGCTYCCCTTTCCAGTAAAATTCCATGGTTCAGTTCATAACAGGAGGCAAGGGAGGGGGTTGGAGAGGCTAAGTCAGAACATTCAGGCTTTATTCCTGCCTTATGGGGCAGTTTTATGATGTCTGGGAGGGAGATGCTGTGTGGGATACCAGGGCAAACAGTTGTGCAGGAATGGGAGTCCCTGGTCTATCAGCTACCTGAAGGACTGGTTCAGATAGTGGGTAGGAACCCTGACATTAGGAAATGACGATAAATGGAGAAACTTGGTGCAGAGTGAGGGCARTGGAACAAGGAAGAGGACTGGGATGGCCGGTACAACTGCAGAGCTCAGGCTGCAGGCATGTGGGCAAAGGCTGTGCTGGTC